AACCCAGATCTGAGTTTACAAGCCTCTTCAGCAGCCGAAGATGAAGAGTCCCAAGGCATGATGTGAATCAGTTCCAGCACTGACAACAAGCTGAACATAGCCTGATAGCTTTTTTTACCAGGAACATTTGTTTCCTATGACAGTGAGTGCTGGTATCTGGATTGAAACTGTTTCTCACTTTCAGCATGAAAAAACTGAATGGCATTAACTGGAGGCGGGTTTCTAATCCTCTAAGGCAGTGTTTCCCAACCTTTTCCAGCCCAAGGCACAGTTACTTTAATAAAAATTTCCAGTGGCACACCTGTTAAGGCATTCCCTATCTCCATGCTTATGAGCTTATTGTAGCTCATTGCCGCGGCAAAGTTCTGCAGCAAAACCTGTTCATTTCTGATGGCATCCCATTGTTCCACAGCACACGGTTGGGAAACACTGCTTGAAGAAATTTGTGATTTATAAAGTAAAAGTGAAACTAGATGGAGATTCCATAGAGGAGAATGAGAACCTCCTTTCCAAAATCAATTAACAAAACTACATCTAAAAAGTTTGGGCATCCTTTTACTGGAGCTACAAAAAATGTATTTGTACTTGAAAGTGGAGACTTAATATATGCAGTTACCTGCTCTGACTTGCACAGGGGAGATGGTTAAAAGGGGGAAAACCAGAAAGTACCAAAACATTTTGAAATATGTAACTGGCTTTCAATTCGCAAAGATCAAAACTGATTTATTTGCCCAATTGCTCATAATATATTTTTCCATTTCAAAAACTTTTGAATTTTCAAACATATTTTTGAATATTTTTTTAATTTGAAGATGAAAGCAGAAATCATATTTTATATATTGTTTCCAAAGGAAAAAGTAAGGGTGTGGGGCGTGAAGAGATGGAAGGAAAACAAGGAGATGAAAAATAAGAAAAGAAAAATTAGCAACTGAAAAACAAAATGGGAATAATTTAAATAGTTAATCAAGATGATAAATTTTCACTTACAGTATTTTTCAAAGCTTTTCACTTCCTTATAAGTAGAGGGAGGCATCTTCTTTTTATATTTTCTTTATTTAAAAAAGACATTTTGGCAGAAAAATAATTAAAAAAATTAACCAAGTCCATTACATCCATTTTCCCAACTAAGAAATAGGTGGACAGATTTTGCCTATATATTTTAGGCATCTATGTCTGCTATTTTCCCCCTGTGCTGCAGAAGTCTATGTTCCAGCTGCACCAAACAAAATGCAGCAAAATTTCTGCATTTTGCATTGGTCTGGAGATGCATTATAGATCAGACAAATTTGCAGGTAAAAACAAATAAATATTAAAGATGCTGCATTTAAAGGCCACTTAATAACTCTCCTTTTACTTTACACAAAATTTTCTTTATACTACTTCAGCAGTATAAGGGGGCCTTAAAACAAGTGCAATTTCTGTTCCTGTTAAGGTCCTTAATGCTGCCAGAGATGGATTAAGCAGGTTACTGTAACTGAGAATCACACTTGTTCATTCCTTTTGACAAGTACAGTTTGGTTTACAATGAAGTCCCAGACTCATTACAGTCAACAGCAGAACTCCTATCAACTTCAGTGAGGCCAGGATTTCACCCTTAGATGCTTTTGAAAATCCTACCCAGAGATCTTAAGAACGTGTTTAAAGATAACTAAGTTGTTAAGGGTTTTCCTGAATTGGAATGAAGGCCCCAGTCCTCTGAAGATTTACACATGTGCTTAACTATCTGCACCACAATAATTCTTGCTGACCTCAGCGGAGCTATTTTTTCTGCATAAATTTAAGAATAAGTCTAAGCCTGCAAGACCTGGACCTAAGTCATTATTTCAGACCTTCAGAAAGGTTTGATATAAGGTAGCAGGAGAATGCTGAAGCAGTATTATGCATAACCATGACACTTCTTTTTTTCAGCACTTCAGGTTCACTCTGAAGAGTATAGGTAATATATGCTACACGTTATAGCAAGGCAGGGATTTTCAGTGATATCTGGAGCAACTGTATGGTTATGAGAGCTGTTGGACAAGCTTTCAGGGCATCAAGTGCCCTGAGGAAGGGCACTTGATGCCCAGAAGCTTGGCCAGTAACTCTCATAGTGATATCTTTGGACAACTGTGATGCCTGAAAGCTTGTCCAACAACTCTCCCAATCATGCAGTTGTCCAAAGATCACTAAAATCCTTGCCTCTCAGACGATTCGTGGGCCATCATGGCTACAACAGCACTCTAACCCTACTGCACATTATATTCACACTATAGAAACCGAGACACCATTACTGAGGCAACAGTAGAGGTGAAACAAGAAATACTGTTCTTGGACGGACCACAGGTCCAAACCATGCAATAACCTGTATATCATTATGATGCCACTAAGTCCTTTGTGGACCAGCCAATGAGTCCTTGAGACTCTTGCATGTATAACCTCTTCCACTCTGAATGGTTCAGCTCTGAGTAGGGTGACCATATTTAACAAGTAGCAGTAAATCACCCATGCAACAATATAAGATATTTTTATAATAGTACAAATGATATTAAGTTTCTTCCTTTTAGAATATACAGTGAGCCTTAGGGCACATAGTGAGAACTTGCTGCCAAAGTAGCCCCAAAATACTATACAGGTACTTAAAAGCTCAGTGGTGTTCTCACTGAGGTCAGTAGCAACTTTCACAGATGTCAGTGGGGCAAGAACAGGCCTCGTGTCTTAGACACTTTTTGCATTCACATGCCCACGTGTCTGTAAATTATGGGAGGGTTGTATTTGAAAGGTCTTGTTGGCATCAATTAGTCAGCCATTCTAAAAGATTTGTCACGATGCTTTCTAAATTTGCAATATTATCCTGTATAATTTATAACTAATGAGGCTGGTGTGCTTTCTATCAGGTATTGATATTGAGTTTGAGGATTTTGCACACTTGAAATAAAAGTGGGCCCTTGCCATAAAGGGTCAGTTCTGGATTTTGAATACTAATTTGGGAGATATGGTGTATGACATTTAAGTATTTGGCTTAGGGACTAACAAAAGGTTATGTAGATACCTGAAATTGGTGTAAACAATACCCATTAATTACAGGAACAGCCTGCATTAAGCTTTTCTCACACCATAAAGGCTTTTTCTCATTTAGGAGAGTGCCCTAGTCTGTAATAGCAGCCTTGAAGTTGTCAGGACCTAGTCAGTTCAGGGCTCCTTCACAAGTCTCCTCATCAATTTTACCAGTTAGGCAGGTAATTGGAGTCAAGTTAATAAACAGAGACTAGGGCCAAAGACTTAGTCTGTATTTAAGCAGTTTATGTATCTAAAGATATCCAAATAATTGATATTTGTTACAGTGTAATGCATGGGAAAAAAATTATGTGGTTAACCTAATTATGCAGTTATCCAATATGCATATAAGGGGAATACACATATAGTGTCTAACAGAAATGTTTTAGAGATTTTAATAAGGTTGAAGCTAAATGGGTTCTGGAAAGAATAGGTTGCTACAGAAATTACTCATAAATACAATAAAATCTCCAGCCGTTACTTAATATTTTTCCTGTGTCAAAAATGTTTTCTTAAGAAACACACGTGGTTTCCCATCATGAGCATGTTAACAGCAGTATCTTCTTTAACAGACAGGGTAAATAAAAGTGAACTTTCCAATATGATCCCTTCTCAGTGGGATATTTCAGTAGGTACAATTAGCTGCCTGTGATGCAACCTTAAATTGCAAATGAAATAACCAGGAGACTGTTTGTTTCATTCCCAAACTAAGCCTTGGTGGGGGGGTGAACAATAAAAATTAGGTTTGAAACAATATTCTTGAGAGACCCACATGCCTGGATGACAAAGTAGAGAGAGCACTTTTTGACACAGAAAAAGGTAAGGTAAATACATCAGTGAGTTGGAAGGTAAACACCATGGATAGAAATTACATAAAAACAATTATAAGTGATTGGAAACTAGTTCAGATCTGTAACACAATAAAAGAAGAGTGAACATAAACCACTGGCATAATTGCCCAAACTAGTTTAAGATAAACCTGGATAGCTGTAGTATCAGACTTAAATGATTTAGGTTAATTTGGTTTATTAAGCTTCTGTCCGAGATCCCCTCCAGATTCAAGTTAAGTGACAGTCCCCCAGCATCCCAGGATGCTTTGTACCTCCTTCGCAAGCCCACCCTCACAGGGTGGGTGGGCTAGTCTTGGCCAAAGCTGTCTGCTGCAGCTGAGCAGAGACTCATGCTCTAGCACCCCCCAGCTTCTGGCCTGGGCCACTGCAGGCATGTAGCTGCATTTCTGGAATCAAAATGAAATTCATCTGTTCACTTGCTTCTCAGTTCAATCTGCACAGCTTAAACTAACCTACAAAGACTGAATCGATTCATCCTTAAGCTTTGTGACTGTCTGTACTTAGTCCATAGAAGAAGAACGCCTATTTAAACTAAAGGACAAGTTGACACAAGAACAAATCAACACAGAATGCCCTTGAATAAATTCAGGCTGAAATTAAAAGGTCTCTAACTATGAAAGTCATGAGGTTCTGGAACAGCCTCCAGCAGAATTTCTAGGGGCAAAAAGGAGATGAATTAGTTTGTGGAAGGGGAATACTGTATATGACATGGTTGCCCATGATGAACCAGGAGGTTCCTTTTAATTCTCTCCTCCTATGAATTTTCCTAGTTCAACTAGCTCTTAAAGGGAAGGACACAATTCTGAGAAACTTCTGAGAGGCTGAAGAACTTCTGACCTAAGCTGAGATGCTGCTGATATAGCTGCTCTTGTTGCTGATACAGCTGCTCTTACAGGCTGGCAACTATTATAATTTGTCATGCACCCTTTCACAATCCAGGTATGATGCACTCCCTGCCACAGACGCTAAATGAGAGAGGGAAATAAATAGTTG